CATAGTAATGGAATCATACAATGTGTGGCCTTTTGCATGTGGATTCTTAGCATAATGTTTTTGAGGTTCATTCAAGTTATGTATATCAGTAGTTTGGTGGGTTTTGGTGCAGAAATACTGCTATCCCATTGTGTGGATATTACACATTTATTTATCCTTTTATCATTTGATGGGTATTTAAGTTGTTTCCACTTTGGGGGTATTATAAAAATGCTGCTACGTGAATATTCGTGTTTATGAATATTTTTTGTGAGAACATATGTTTTTAGTTCTCTCGGATGTAAACCTAAGAATAGAATTTCTGGGCCAGAGGATATGTTTTTATTGATTTTAGAGAGAGTTCAGTGTGACAGAGAAACACCAATTGGTTGCCTCCCATCGAACCCACAACCTAGGCATGGGCCCTGACCAGGAATCGGAACTGCCACCTTTTGGTGTACAGGATGATGCTCCAGCCAACTGAGTCACCCAGCCAGGGCAATAATACTATTTTATAAATAAATGATTTGTTGCTTTTAATAATATTCTGTATATGGGGTGGGGGCAAAAGTAGGTTTATATTTATGAATATGCAAAACAGTTTATTCTTGTATTAGTATTTGCTAGAGGCCCGGTGCACAAATTTGTGCACCAGTGGGGTCCCTTGGCCTGGCCTATAGGATTGGGCCAAAATCGGCTCTCCGACATCCCCCGAGGGGTCCCAGATTACAAGAGAATGCAAGCCAGGTCGAGGGACCCCACCAGTGCAAAATTGGGGCCAGGGAAGGACGCAGGAGGCTGGCCAGCCCAGGAGGGACCACAGGAGGGCTCCAGGGCATGGCCAGTTTTGCTCAGTCCCAATCGGCCAGACCCCAGCAGCAAGCTAACCTACCAGTTGGAGCGTCTGCCTCCTGGTGGTCAGTGCATGTCATAGCGAGTGGTTGAGTGGCCTTAGCATATCATTAGCATATTACACTTTGCTTGGTTGAACGGCCAATGGGACAACCAGACACTTAGCATATTCGGCTTTTATTATATAGGATTGTATTATTTTCATATGTACAACTGTAAGCCTATTTTTGCCCCACCCAGTATATTTATATGTGCAAAATACAAAGTATAGTTGTCAGTTCAAAGTGATTCCTCACATATATTAAAATAAGACAAAATAAAAATCTATTCTAATCTGACTCATTAGAGCAGCGGTTCTCAACCTGTGGGTCCTGACCTCTTTAGGGGTCAAACGACCCTTTCACAGGGGTCACCTAAGACCATCGGAAAACACATATATAATTACATATTGTGCCAAACCGGTTTGGCTCAGTGGATAGAGCGTCAGCCTACGGACTCAAGGGTCCTGGGTTCGATTCCGGTCAAGGGCATCTACCTTGGTTGCGGGCACATCCCCAGTGGGAGGTGTGCAGGAGGCAGTTGGTCGGTGTTTCTCTCTCATGGATGTTTCTAACTCTCTATCCCTCTCCCTTCCTCTCTGTAAAAAATCAATAAAATATATATTAAAAAAATAATTACATATTGTTTTTGTGATTAATCACTATGCTTTAATTATGTTCACTTTGTAACAATGAAATTGGGGGTCACCACAACATGAGGAACTGTATTAAGGGGTCGCAGCATTAGGAAGGTTGAGAACCACTGCATTAGAGCAAGTGACAAAGCTGCTTAATGATTATTTGGATTTTAAATAATTAGGTTTTATTTGAAATAATGGTGGTTAAAGTTTCATCTGTGAAACTCTGAGATTTGCATTATCATTTGCTTTTCCTAGGGACTTCAGTATACCAGTTCTAATCCTTCTCAAAAGATGGCAGTTTCTCACCTTTTGGTGGTATATTTATAGGCAGGTCACTGGAATACACCCTCTCATATCTGGTTACATACACATTACTTAAAAATAGCACCAAGCTAATCATCATTCTACCCAAACCAACTCCTTATTCTGTCATTGATACCCCCAGTTTTCTTGATATTCAGTTTTAAGATCTTGAAATCATTCCTGACTCTTCTTATCTACTCCCCACAACATCTAGTTAATCTCCAGGACATAACAGCTTTTTTTTTTTTTCCACAGTGTCTCTCCCGCCATTCTTCCTTTCTGTTTTTTCATTGCCACCACCTTAAGCCTGGAACTTCTGACTCCTAGATCACTGCAAGTCTTCTAGTTGGTCTCCCACCCTCCAGTCCCTCCCCAATTCATTGTGTCTTGCACATTACCAAACTGTTCACATTTGAGAGCCTCTGATTCTGAACTCTTAACTTCATCTGCAATTATCCAATCAAAATGGATTGTTTGTTGTTTCCTGTACAAACTGTCCACAGTCCCAGCTTCATACACATATATCAGTTGATGTTTATCAGTTACCATAATGATGCACCTCAGGAATTTTATAACTTACCCCTTTCTCCTCAGTGAGGTAGCTGTAAATATCATATGATGTTAATGTTGGTGATATTTTTTACAATTTTCAATAAGTAAATTTCAAGTTATATAGAACTTTATTTCGTTATTGTTTAGAAAAAAAAAATGGTTTATTCCAAGAAATCACATCACTCACTAAAGTTTTACCAGTTGCAAAAAAAGAAATGCAAACTTTGTAAGAATAAAACAAAACAAAATCACCTTTTTGTATAAAGATGCTGCTTTTTATTCTAAGAAAGACATTTTTGTGGCAAAAAATAATATCTTCTCGTATTGGGAAAGTAAATTTTGAAACGAAAAAATACTTAAAGAAAATGCCAAAAAAAGAAAAAAAAATGTCAGATCTTAGAAAGGTGACTTTTAAAAAATATATATATTTTATTGATTTTTTTTACAGAGAGGAAGGGAGAGGAATAGAGAGTTAGAAACATCGATGAGAGAGAGAAACATCGATTAGCTGCCTCCTGCACACCCCTTCTGAGGATGTACCCACAACCAAGGTACATGCCCGTGACCAGAATCAAACCTGGGACCCTTCATTCTGCAGGCCGATGCTCTATCCACTGAGCCAAACCGGTTAGGGCGAAAGGTGACTTTTATATCTATATCAAGTAGTCTATAATTTAAATGTGAATGAACCCATTTATAGAAATTAAGGCAAGTAATAAGAAAAGTCTAGATAAAATATGCGGAGACAAAGAAACAGGACGCAGATGTCAGAAATGGAAGATATAGAGCTCAAAACCACACTTTTAAGGTCTTTCAATAATTTTCTAAAAACTGCCTATAAATGTAGTGAGATCCTCAAGAAATCTAATGAGACCCTCGATGTGGTGATAAAGAACCAACTAGAAATTAAGCATACACTGGCTGAAATAAAGAATATTATACAGACTCCCAACAGCAGGCCAGAGGAGCGCAAGAATCAAGTCAAAGAATTGAAATGTGAAGAAGCAAAAAACACCCAACCGGAAAAGCAAAATGAAAAAAGGATCCGAAAATACGAAGATAGTGTAAGGAGCCTCTGGAACAGCTTCAAGTGTACCAACATCAGAATTATAGGGGTGCCAGAAGATGAGAGAGAGCAAGATATTGAAAACCTATTTGAAGAAATAATGACAGAAAACTTCCCCCACCTGGTGAAAGAAATAGACTTACAAGTCCAGGAAGCGCAGAGAACCCCACACAAAAGGAATCCAAAGAGGACCACACCAAGACACATCATAATTAAAATGCCAAGAGCAAAAGACAAAGAGAGAATCTTAAAAGCAGCAAGAGAAAGAAACTCAGTTACCTACAAGGGAGTACCCATACAACTGTCAGCTGATTTCTCAACAGAAACTTTGCAGGCCAGAAGGGAGTGGCAAGAAATATTCAAAGTGATGAATGCCAAGAACCTACAACCAAGATTACTTTATCCAGCAAAGCTATCATTCAGAATTGAAGGTCAATAAAGAGCTTCACAGATAAGGAAAAGCTAAAGGAGTTCATCACCACCAAACCAGTATTATATGAAATGCTGAAAGGTATCCTTTAAGAAGAGGAAGAAGAAAAAGGTAAAGATACAAATTATGAACAACAAATATGCATCTATCAACAAGTGAATCTAAGAATCAAGTGAATAAATAATCTGATGAACAGAATGAACTGTTGATTATAATAGAATCAGGGACATAGAAAGGGAATGGACTGACTATTCTTGGGGGGGAAAGGGGTGTGGGAGATGCGGGAAGAGACTGGACAAAAATCGTGCACCTATGGATGAGGACAGTGGGTGGGGAGTGAGGGCGGAGGGTGGGGCGGGAACTGGGAGGAGGGGAGTTATGGGGGGGAAAAATGAGGAACAAATGTAATAATCTGAACAATAAAGATTTAATTTAAAAAAAGAAAGAAAGAAAGAAAGAAAGAAAGAAAAGTCTAAAGTCACTTTAGAATCTGAGGATTGCCCTAACCGGTTTGACTCAGTGGATAGAGCGTAGGCCTGCGGACTGAAGGGTCCCAGGTTTGATTCCGGGCATGCACCTTGGTTGTGGGAACATCCCCAGTAGGGGGTGTATAGGAGGCATCTGATCAATGTTTCTAAGTCTCTATCCCTCTCCCTTCCTCTCTGTAAAAAAAAATCAATAAAATATATATTTTTTAAAAAACTGAGGATAAGTACAAAGTATTTTACAAATATTGTAAAAAGAGTATTCAAGAACCATTAAAGAATGCCCTGTTCATAAATTAACAAAAAGGCAAATGAATTTAGCCTTAGAGTAAAATACAGTGAACCATACCAGCACCCAAATAATCATGCGCCATAATGGTGCTTCTGGGACATGACATACTTCAGCAGTCATTTCCAAAAGGTGACTGGGGATTGCAACACAACCAGCTTTAAACAAAGAAACCACAGAGGTGCCAGGGTTACCCCGGCACTTATCAGGCGGCACATCTGACACAAAATACCTTCAGCGGATGAGGAATTAGTTTGTATCACTTGTCTTTGCATAATCTAGAATGACAAATGCATCCCCTGCCACCCTTTTCCTGCCTTCTTCAACTGTAAAGCATGTTTTACAGTTGTTGTATTTTTTTATAGGGATCATATGCAATGGTCAAAAGAGGAAGAAGCAGCAGCCAGAAAAAAAGTAGAGGAAAACTCAGCTGAGCGAGTCCTTCTGGAAGAGCAAGGTAGGCAGCTAACTGTGGTAGCAGCTCCTGGAGCCCAGTTTTCCGTTTGACCTCCCACTGATTCAGTCCACACCTGAGGCTCTTTTCCACCGACTGTGTCACTGCTTCGGGGAGTTCTTTACTTCTACCTGTGCCATGTACTTGTTCCATTTGGGAGAATGCCCAGGTCTTTCAGTTCAGTGGAACCAACTTAACGAAATGAAGTATGTATTCACCTTGTACTTGCTCTTTTTTTAGTCATATTGTTGCTCTTTCTGGGAGACACAAGCACATGGGTGGCATTTCAAACAAGATTTGAAAACATAACTTTAAAATTTTCCTCTCGTTAGGAGTCCTTTAGTATCTGCTGTGTGTTTTACTTGTTAGTAATGTTAACAAATTCAAACACTTTCAGCAAAGAAGGTAAAGTCATATCAAAATCTTGCTGGTCTCTTAGGATAAATATAAAGTTCCAATATATAAGGATTTAAGGTAACTTTTCTTGAAGGCCATTGATATTTAGAGTTTAATTCAGATAAAGCCTTGCCAGGCCTTCAAAAATGGCTTCTGAGAAATTGACCTGTGCGACTATCACACACAAAAAAGAAAACGTGTTGGTGAGGATGTAGAGAAATGGCAACCCTTTTGCCTTGTTGGTTGAATTGTAAAATGGTGCAACTTTTATGGAAAGCAGTATGGAAGCACCTTAAAAATTAAAAATGAAGCTACCATGTGTGATCTAGCAACCTCGCCTCTGGACATAGCAAAAAGAAATAGAAAGCAGAGTCTTGAGAGATATTTGTACATCCATGTTCATAGCAACACTATTCACAATAGGCAAAAGGTGGAAGCACTCCACATGTCCATCGATGGATAGAAGGATAAACAAAATGTGGTAGATACACACGACGGATTATTGTTCAGCCTTAAAAAGGAAGGAAACCCTATCACATGCTATAACCTGGAGGAACCTGGGGGACATGTGAAATGAAATAAGCCAGTCACAGAAAGGCAAATACTGTATAATTCCATATATATGTGGTATTAAAAGTAGTCATATTCATAGAAACAGGAAGTAGAATGGTGGTTACCAAGGCCTGGGGGACAGGGGAACACCAGAGTTGTTTAATGGTTATAAAGTTTCAGATTTGCAAGATGAAAAAGTTCTAGACATCCGTTTAACACTAGGGAACTGTACACTTAAAAATGGTTAAGATGGTAAGTTTTACGTTATGTGTTTTTTACCAAAATTTTTTTTAAAAAGTACCCCCCCAAAATGACTTCCATCCTTACTATGTTGCTGGGAACCCACAGACATTCTGCTGAACATCTGTAGATAGGATTTTTTTTTTCTGCATTTTGCTTAAAATCATCTCTTCTTAACACAGCTTGCTTCTTTTTCCTTTAAAAAAAATTTATTGAAGTAACAAATGCAGAAATTTACACAACTTATAAATGAACTAGAGGCCTGGTACACGAATTCATGCATGGGTTGGGTCCCTCTGGGCACCCTGCAAGGATTGGGCCGAAACCCGCAGTTCAGCGCCACCTGCAGCTCCTACCTGCTGCTCCACTCATCCTGGCCCCACTGTGCCTGCTGCGGGCTCACGCCCAATCAGTCCCGATCCGGAGAGGCTCGCGCTGCTACAGCAGCACTCGCCAGCCATGAGCCCTGCGTCTACTGCCCTCCCAAGGGGAGTGGCCTACGGAATCAGGCTGAAACCAGCTCTCCGATATCCCCCGAGGGGTCCCGGATTGCGAGAGGGTGCAGGCCAGGGTGAGGGACCCCACCGGTGCACGATCAGGCCGGGGAGGAACCATGGGAAGGCTCCAGGGCATGTTCGGCTCATCTCAGTCCTGATCGGCCGGACCCCAGCGGCAAGCTAACCTACCGGTTGGAGCATCTGTCCCTTGGTGGTCAGTGCACGTCATAGCAACTGGTCAACCAGTTTACTGTCTGCCCCCTGGTGGTCAGTGCACGTTATAGCAAGTGGTTGAGCAGCCTTAGCATATCATTAGCATATTACACTTTGATTGGTTGTTCAGTTGTTCTGCCTTTCAGTCTATTTGCATATTACCCTTTTATTATATAGGACTAGAGGCCTGGTGCACAAAAATTTGTGCACTCGGGGGGGAAAGAAGGAGGTCCTCAACCCAGCCTGTGCCCTCTCGCAGTCTGGGACCCCTCGGGAGATAACGCCCTGCTGGCTTAGGCCTGCTCCCGGGTGGCAGAGGGCAGGCCCAATCCCTAGGTACAGCCCCTGGTCAGGCTCAGAGCAGGGCCGATTGGGGAGTTGGGGCGCCGCCCCCTGTCATGTACAGAGCAGGGCGGATTAGGAGGTTGCGATGCCACCCTCTGTCATGCTCAGGGTAGGGCTGATTAGGGGGTTGGGGCACTTCCCCCTGTCACACTCAAGGCAGGGTCGTTAGGGAGGTTGTGGTGCCACCACCTGTCATGCACAGAGCAGGGCCGATCAGGGGGTTGGGGCGCTGCCCCCTGTCATGCGCAGAGCAGGGCCCATCAAGGGGGTTGGGGCTCCGTACCTTGTCACGCACAGAGCAGGGTCGATCAGGGGGTTGGGGAGCTTCCCCCTGTCACACACAGAGCAGGGCCCATCAGGAGGTTGGGGAGCTCCCCACTGTCACGCACAGAGCAGGGATCATCAGGGGGTTGAGGAGCTCCCCCCTGTCACTCACAGAGTAGGGCCGATAGGGGAGTTGGGGCACCGCCCCCTGTCACACACAGAGCAGGGCGGATCAGGGGGTTGGGGCGCTGCCCTCTATCACCCACAGAGCAGGGCTGATCAGGGGGTTGGGGCACTGCCACTGTCACACTCAGGGCAGGGCCGATGGGGAGGTTATGGCTCTACCCCATCACACACAGAGCAGGGCTTGTGGGGGGGGGGGGGCGGATTGGGGCGCCACCCTCTATCACCCACAGAGCAGGGCTGATCAGGGGGTTGGGGCACCGCCACTCTCCCACTCAGGGCAGGGCCGATGGGGAGGTTATGGCTCTACCCTGTCACACACAGAGCAGGGCCTGTGGGGGGGGCGGGGGTTGGGGCGCCACACCCTGTCACACACAGAGCAGGGCCGATCAGGGGGTTGGGGCACCGCAGCCTGTCACACACAGAGCCACAGGGTGATCAGGGGGTTGGAGAGTTCCCCCGTATCAGGCACAGAGCAGGGCTGATCAGGAGGCTGGGGCGCCTTCCCCTGTCACGAACAGAGCAGGGCGGATAGGGAGGTTGTGGCCCTGCTCCCTGTCACACACAGAGCTGCAGGGCGATCAGGGGGTTTGGGCACTGCCCCCTGTCACGCTGATCCCGGTGCCGGGAGGCCTCTCGGCTCCGCTGATCCCGGTGCTGGGAGGCATATTACCCTTTTACTATATAGGATAGAGGCCTGGTGCATGGGTGGGGCTGGCTGGTTTGCCCTGAAGGGTGTCCTGGATCAGGGTGGGGGTCCCCACTGGGGTGCCTGGCCAGCCTGGGTGAGGGGCTGAGAGCTGTTTTCAGGCTGGCAGGTGACGGAAGCTCCCAACTGCTCCTTTTTTTCTTTCTTTTTTTTTTATTCTGGGCCAGCTTTAGCTCTGGCTCCAACTCTGAGGCCTCTGCTGCTGAAAGCAGGTATCTGGTTTGTTTGGGTTCTATAATCAAAACAATGTATAACTCCAGCTCTGAGATCCCGGCCGGCTGAAAGCAGGTTTCTGGGGTTTTGTTTAGCTTCTATATTTGTTACAATGTTTCAAACTGCAAGCTCAGAGGCTGGCAAGGCAGGCGGGGAACGTTGGAGTCCTCCGTCACTGAAGAAAGCAAGCCTCATGTTCGCTTGCAGCTGCCTGGCTGCCGTCCGCCATCTTGGCTGGCAGTTAATTTGCATATCTCCCTGATTAGCCAATGGGAAGGGTAGTGGATGTATGCTAATTTTCATGTTTCTCTTTTATTAGATTAGCTTCTCACAGAGCTCAATGGATTTTCCAAACACCCACCTGAAGAAACAGAATATTACCAGTAACCCAGAAAGTTTTCATGTTCCAACCCAATTACCATACTTCCCCCAATCCTTCAGGCCGCTAAATGAGCAACCATTGTTCTTCTGGCTTCTGACCCCATAGGTTGGTTTTGTCAGAGCAGTTTGGTTCTGGTTCTGACCATTTCTCATTCACTCTTGTGACAAAATCAGAGTACCCATTAAATAGAGCAAGTCAGGAAGCTATGGTCACGGGTCAAATCCAGCCCACTGCCTGTTTTTATAAGTCAAGCATTATTGGGACATAGACATACTCATTTATTTACGTATTTTCTATGGCTGCTTTTGAGCTATGTTTACAGAGCTGAATAGTGGCGACAGAGACCATATGTAGCCCACAATGACTACTCACTAACTGGCCCTTTGAAGGAAATGTTTGCCAATGCCTGAGATGCAATTTTCAGGATAGATGGGTCGGCTGTCCCAAGGCTCCCTAGGGAAAGATATTTACATTCCTCTGTGCAAGCCAAGCTAGTGAAAATCACTAATCCCACTGGTAGTTAACTATCGTTCTAGTGGCTTCAGTCTACAATTGAGGCTAAAGTTTGAAGCGAAGGTAGCTGTGGAGCCTAAGCTACTGAGAATGCCCTCCCTAGCTGCCCTTACCCAGTGAAGGGGCAGTGCTGCGTCTTATCCTCTAGCATCAGTTGCTATTCCCTTAGAGCTTGCTCCCATTTCTTACACCTAAGCTTGAACGTGTCCTGGAGAGTGGACAAGAAAGAAGAGTACCTGCCCCACAGTGGAGCTGTTCTATTTTTATGAGCTTCCAGTCATGCAGTCCAGAGTAGGATATGGCCCGGGAGTTGGATTTGAGGGTGCATACCAGTGGCAGTTCTGCTTACAGATCAGCCAACATTGCATTCCTTTCAGGAGCTCTGTCATTCTGTTTCTGAGGAAGTATAATTTTGCTTCTTTGCCAGCAGCTGCACAGACATATTTTCCACATTACTCAAGCTTCTGCTAGTGGCCACCTGGATGTGACAGAAAGA